AAACAGCCTCGTAAACATTATCACTGATGCTTTCAATACTTGCCATGGTGCAATATATAAGAGATTTTTTTCTTCAAATCATTAATTTCAGACGCTGGTTGGAAGGATTTTTTGGTCCTCGAGGTACTTTTTGAGCGCAATGCTGCCCGCCATGACGGCGGTGAACTTCACGTAATTCATCGCACTGCTGCTGGGATCAGAAGTAAAATTCTCTTTTACAACCTTTTTTGCGGCCCAGCCGATGCCGGCCACTAACCCAGTGAGAGTAGCGGCGTCAATGACGGTCTTAACAAGCTTGTTGTCTGACATTGTTGCGTCTGCTATTATGGAAAAAACAAAAGTTTAAAATGAATTAATCTGTCTTTTCCGCGGCTTCTTCTTGTTCTTGTTCTTCTTTTTCTTTTTCTATTCTTCTTCTTATTTCTTTTTCTATCATTCTTCTTTCTTCTTCTTCGGCCATATCATCAATAAATGGTGCACTCAAAAGATCGAGGACTGTATCAAAAATCTTTGCGTTGAACTCGTACCATAATACCGTGATGCCAAAAATTGCGGCTGAAGAGACGAGAATCTGGGGAATGTCAACTTTAAGCATGTTGGTATATATTCCACTCGGAAAAGTTTAAATCATTTTTTAAAACCTTTTGGCTGTGTCGCGCGAGCAGGTTATGGCTCAAAACGCGCGGAATCAGGGGAGAGCTCAGGGGCGGGCTCAGGCGTTTTTTTGCCGAACGCGGCCTTGAGCTCTTCACGTTTGTAATAAAGCCCGACCAGTGAAACGACTAAGCTGCCAACAGCAAGCCATTGGGTGGTGCTGAGGCTGCTATTCTTTTCTNGGCGAAAAAAAGAAGTTTGGCACGAAGGGGATGTCGAAGACGCAGAACGAGATCACGTGGCAGCGTTTTAAGGGAGCGTTGGAAGGCAGCAAAGATATGGCAACCAACAGAGGTTTCAGGGTGCGGGACGGGCAGATGGTGACTTACGAGCAGCAGAAGCTGGGGCTGAGCGCTTATTACGACAAGTTCTTTTCTATTCTTCTCATTTCTTCTTCTTCTTCTATTCTTTTTCTTCTTCTATTCTTCTTCTTATTTCTCCTTGTTTTCTTTTTTCTTCTCCGGCCTTATCAATAAATACTGCACGTAAAAGGTCGCTGATTCTATCAAAAACCTTTACGTTGAAGTCGTACCATACCAGAGAGATACCAAAAATTGCGGCTGAAGAGATGAGAATCTGGGGAACATCAACTTTAGGCATGTTGAATATACTCCACTCGGAAAAGTTTAAATCATTTTTTTTAATCCTTTGGCTGTGTCGCTCGAGCAGGTGCGGGCTCAGGTGCGGGCTCAGGTGCGGGCTCAGGTGCAGGCTCAGGTGCGGGTTCAGGTGTGGGCTCTGGCGTTTTTTTGGCGAATGCGGCCTCAGCCATAGCCTTGAGCTCTTCACGTTTGTAACAAATCCCGACCAGTGAAACGACTATGCTGCCAACAGCAAGCCATTGGGTGGTGCTGAGGCTGCTATTCTTTTCTCCGCTGCACTTTGGGCTTTCGCCTTCTGTAGTCGGGGCTGGCTCAGGGGCCGCTGTGGCGGCTTTCGCCTTGTTGTTCGCCATATAAGCCTCTGTTGCTTTTTTCTGTTGTTCCCGGGCTAACCGCGTTCTTTCAGCAACCATTTTGCCAGCAGCCACATGCTTGGGACTTTTCACGCGCTGCGTGGTTGGAGTTGGAGTTGTCGCTTGCTGTGTGATATCGAAGGCAGGTGCTGTCTGGGTCTCGCCCTGAAGCGCGCTCTCGGATTGTTCGGTTGACATTCTGAAACAAATGTTGAGCAAATATAATAATGCTTAGAAATAACTCTGCGGTCGTTCTGCAATCACTCAGCGGGCGTTGAGGATTGCTGTTGAGGAATTTCTTCCAATTTTGCTTCATCCCTTATCTCCAAATGCGAGTTAAAATCAATATTTTTCGTGGTGATTAGCGCCGCGTAGGCCGCAGCAAGAAACCGGCCGCACTTCAAAGCAAGGTTGCCGGCCAGATTGGAGAGCTCTTTGTTTATGATGTGGTCGTTTCTGAGTTCTTTTTGATAAGCGTCGATGTCTTTGATGTTAACGAACATTCCGACCGCTTTGGT